TCCACCTTTACTCTTTTCTTTACAATAAGGCTTTCAAATAAGTCATGGTTGTACGGCAGTGAAGCATCGGTGTTGAACACTGATGTCATGCTGTCGATGATGATGATGATGAGGACGTAAAAAAACCCTCAGTGTTTGACCATCGATGTCTTCGGAGCATCGCCAGAATCTGGTGGGAAATCCGGACCAGCAATGCTGAAGTTTATCGGATGGTATTCGGAAGAAATAACCCACCCACGATTGATGAACTGATCACACTGCACAGGTTACGCTGGCTTGGCCAGGTGCTGCGCCAGCCAGTCGACCAACTTCTTTGAAGGGTTCTTTTTGCAGAACCGCAAAGATAGGAACGAGCCAGAGGAGGTCAAACAGTGACTAGCGAATTGCACACTGCACAGGTTACGCTGGCTTGGCCAGGTGCTGCGTAGGCCAGTCGACCAACTTCTTTGAAGGGTTCTTTTTGCAGAACCACAAAGATAGGAACGAGCCAGAGGAGGTCAAACAGTGACTTGGTAGCGAATTGTGAAAGCTATTATCAGAAAGCTCAGCTGCGCTGGTCATTGCCGTCTCCCTGGATGGGGATCCCGAGATTGGCTACATCAACGGCTATAGATATCAGATATGGCCCAGTCATACCATCAGTGGCGCTCGTGAATCCAACCTACTGCCTTCAATACATAGCTCCCGTCCCAACTCCCTCCTGGAAGTCCACTGGCAGTCCTGCATCTGCGCACCAATTCATGAACTCTCTCCTTCAGCGAGCATATACCTACCTCAGCTCCTCAAATCATCGGTGGACGAAATCGTGACAACTACAACCACTGTACGACAAGTACGCGGTGCTCACAGCTGACCATGATGATGAGTGCACAACTCTGACGACCCACAGGCCGCTGCAGTTGGATGGACCGGGGTGGGTGTTGTATTAAGCGATCAAACCAAAACGTTTCTGATTGATTGGACACCCGCTGACAGTCGTCTCTGTGCTGATCGTCTAGCAACGTCTGTGAAAAAAAACCGAAGAAAATGAGGTTCATCGCTCAGTTTATGCTCTGCTTAAGCTCTGACGAACTGTAGCTCTGAAACTACAAAGGAGGGTTTCTATGATGTGCTAGGTGCTCTTTTACAACAGGCTAAACGCTCGGACCGTTACGGCAGCTGCTGGTATGAACGCGTAAGTAGGTAGACTAATTGCTACAGACTCCTAGTTGAGTAGTCGTCTTGGATTGGACAGGGGACGCACCGACAACGTAGAGCACCTGCTTTGGACCTATGACGACCACATACGATTCCTTTGCAGTACCGATTTTCTTATATTCACAAACCTCTGGCGGTGTGAGAGTGCACGGTGAGCTCTACAAAGCTTCCCTAGAAAAAGTGGCGCCTAACTACGGTCCGCTCTTTCCACTCTTGTTCAACCTCGTCACTGATGAAACAATGAAGTGGACGCTGGAGGATTTTGGAAACTCCAGTGCTCAAGTCGCTGCTGGTGAGAAACCTGTCAACCTGGACGATAGCACACTCATCTTTGAAGACGAAGTACAAGCCCTGTTGAGTGAGCTGAGAGCCATCATACCATATTTCGACGTGTTTCGAAACTTCAACCTGTAAAGTTGTGCTTCAGAACGTTCAGTATATAAGCGCCCCTATTACAATCCAAGGAGAATCACGGGAGGTTGTGGAGAATTTTCCATCTTTTGGTAGTCACAGTAGCTCTGGCATAAGTGTCAAATGAAGTCAAGTTTGCTTATCTGTGTCACTTGTGGAGTCAGAAGGAGCGATCACCAGATCTAAATGGTTGTGTGTAGAAGGCTACAGTAAGGGCTCAACTGTTGTGTATTTCCGAGTCATAGCCTCTATGGACAGATGAAGTGGGGCGTCTCCATGTCTTTGACCACCACCCAGAAGGGTTTCCGGCGTCCGATGGCGACAACAAATTGGTAGAATTATAAAAAAACGAGTACTTGGCTGTGTAAAAGACATACCGGTCACATAAAACACCCAGTACCATCAACTGCGGTGGCTCACCTAGTGCTGCACATGCCGAAACATCGCCTACCAAAACGAGTGTTGCTCTCCATGCCTCCTCTAGGACGGCGCAAACAGCGAGGTGGACAAGGTACGAATTAGCTGTCGGAGCGGATGGGATCCCCGTGACTACCCTGCACTTGACTGGAGACATTGCAGGGAATGGCGGCTGATAGTTGTCAATGGTGTTCGTGTTGTCAGTTTCCAGATTGTATGGTTGAGTGCTTGGAAGCATAGGCACTCGGGATGATTACGGTAGGCTAGCGCCAGGTTCCTCCCTCAGCCGCTCTACACTTCACTTTGGGATTTGGGTTTAAGGCAACAGAGCATCAATACTAGCACTGATGTTGCTATAGCTGGGGACTGATGACGATGTACGGACTTCCAACCTCTCTCCACGGCAGTCCAACGGTCAGTTGGGTTTCTCTACAGCAATACTCTCTAATCGTCACTTGTCTACTGATTTCGGTTGCGATTGACCCACCTGGTTTAGGAAAAGCGTAAAAAGTGTGGTTGATCCGCCTGCTGCATTCTTTTTTGTTCATGTGAGCTCCAATTTGTCAGTTGGACTGGATTATGGCGTAAATCACGGACAACGCAAGTTCCGAGGCCCAACCAAAACTCTTACACATCGCCTCTCGAACATTGTCATATTAAGCCCAAATATCAACTACAAATGGTACCCTTCTTTCTAGAGAGCGATTGAGATCGTTAGCCTCTTTCAACGCAGTTCCCCCAACGTATACATTCTGTCCCTCCAGGGGTCCCAGCTTGAGGACCAATCTACCGAACGGACTGACGCCAATGTGACGTTTGACTCACAATTTCATACTGACATGATCTTGATAGGAAAAATTCACAAACGATACACTGTACGCGGCACCAAGGATACCAACCTACCTGATTAATGAGTTGCCGAACATTGGCACCAACTTCTTCTAACTTGACTTTTTCAGCTACTGCACGCGCCGTTGTTTCACTGGATGCCAGGACCTTCTTGTAGAGTTGTGCTGCAAATTTTCATAATTCAGAAAAAGCACTCACCACTCCAGTTTCTGGCGGACCTGAAACCATCTTGCAGTGCAGTCAAACCATCGATGTGCGTTGCTTCGTCGCCCTGGGCCGGAAGAGGGAACGAACTTGTGTCTGTTGGGTATTCTGTAGCATCTTTCTTGTCAGGTGCCTTTTTATCGTCTTTTAGGGTACGTTCGGATTGACTACTCAACCCCATTGATAGTTCCGTAAAGATCGAGCGACACTGACACAACCAGCTCTTTAGCTCACGCCCAGTCGTGCTATTTACATCCTGATTGGTTCACATATTCCTGCGGATCCTGTGAAGATTTCGACCGAATATTACCTGCAGTACCAAATGAAACACCAACTCTACATTTTTCACTGGTAAAATCCCTCTTGACGACCCATCTGTTATCATCATTAAATATTCTTTTAGTGTGAGTACCAACCTCAAGGTCGTTGAAGAACGGGAGATTTTCATCATGCGGAAAATGAATTGAGCATCGCGAGACGCGTTTCGTAGTCCACGGACTTCAGGCCGGCAACCATTCTCGTAGCGGCCCGCAGAAAATGAATTTGGTAAAGGAAGGATCCATAGAAGTTTGCAGTGGGACGAATCCGGAAGTTATAGGGGGCCATCTATGAACAAGAGGTTACATAAACCAGTGTAAACATTTGATCGAAGACTTTGTTTTCACATTGAAAGAATGACTCACAATTTGATCGACTACCTCACTACGTTATACAGAGAGGTAGGAAAATGTTAATAAGATAATTCTAACATCGCCGCACATAGAATTTCATTATGTGGCTCCTAATGATGGAAAGCTTCACTGGCTGCTGGTTGCTCATGTCGAACGTAGATACTGCGTATAAATCTTGAGACTTAAAACATGATCCATGTGGCGTTTTGTACCTTCATTTTACTTCCATTATGACACTACGTATTTCGTCCATTGCATAATAGTTTTTTGTTTCAATACGAAAAACCACAAGAACTCGCAATTGTATAAGTTTACATAATACAAGCGTGGTCATGTGCTCCGACTCTCTCTTGACTTCGCTCGCGCTTGCACCGGTCATTCGCAAGTCTCATGTACTAACTCTGGTACCAAAACATTTCAGACCATCTTCGGAATCTCTTATATGTGGAAACTGTTCAGAAGTAGACCTCTGGACCAACATAACTGGGTTATTGTTTATTCGCTGACATGGGCCAACGAAGCACTATTTTAAAGAGAACAATTGTTAGTGAGTCTGTTCCATCTGACCTCTTTATTATTGTATACCCAACCTAGCGTTATTATTCTTATCTCTTTGCCACACGCTCCTGGTATACTAACTTATTGGGTAGCCAGACCACTACATCCATCAGCGCTATGGCGGCATCCTTTTGCAGCCTAACTATTTTACCTGAGTTTGTACAGAAAATATTAACCGCTGACCAGATGGAATTTTCTTGATTTTCTCACCAAGGCCGTCCTAAGGTAGCTTTCCTGCACAGTTGCCTGATGCGCGCAATCCGTGGCTAAACTTTGTCATACCCACGAATCCTCATTCCATTATTCTCCATCTAGTGTGATGCCCCGTATGTGGCCTATATTTGGAGACAAAACACCCCGGGTCTTCTGCATCAAAATATAACCAAATCACCCACGTTATGGGGCCGATAAAAACCAGCTGTCACCATCGTGAAACAAATGTCTCCGGCCAGCTAAGTTATCTTTCACACACAGAAGCATCAGAATAACAGACTCAACGCCCCTCCCAAGCCTAACTATTACCCAAAATCCGCCCAGATGAGCTAGGTAATTCCTTGCCGGAGGAAACACGGCTGAATATCACTAAAAAGAAACACCGCGTGAGCCTCTATGATGGGAGTTCAAACGTCCCATAGTTGGCGACTCCAACCCAAGAAAAACAGAAGACGTAGGCAAAAGACGATAGTTCCACAAAAGAAATTAATTGTGATCCGATTGCATGCTGGAGAAAACACCTGGTGCTTCACCAAGGGGTACAATTTAATCCTCTGTGCCCAGCCGTTTTTGTGACATACTCCCAAAGAGGAAAATGACAAACGTGAAAATTCCGCAGATGCTATCGAACGTAGTTCGAAAAAGGGAAACTTTAACACAAAGTTTTAGCATTTGATGGTAGTTATTGGAACCCCTAGGACCTCCCCATGCGCCCACAGTATTTTGGAGCTTTTCTACCGTTACAACAAGCGTCCATGAAGACAAAGCCAGGGTCTCAGAATCCATAGCGTTTGGAAGTTTATCGCTCTTTGTTTGCCACCGATAGCGTACATTGCACTGACAGCCCGGCCAGATTCCAGCTGGTGCGATGACTTCTTGGTTATGATAATAGTAACAATAAAAAATCATCTCCCAACCTTTGGGAGCATGCCGACTGAGGCATGATGAACGCCATCTACCACCTGGAGCACAACCGTCCACTTAGCGAGAGTATTTTTGAAGGGCTGCCTATCAACCAGCGCCGGACAGGCTATGAATTAAAGGAATGTAGTTGCCTTTTGAGGTACGCTACTCCTTCAGCGGAATTTCGCCAATAAGTTGCAGATCACTTTGGAACGAAACGACCACCCAGAATGTTTATGATAATCGCACTGTGTCCCGACTCTTTTTGTAAACCAGGTCGGCGGTTTGTTTTTTCTTGGCGTGGGCATCGGCCGACACGTGATATATGCCTTCATAGAAAGCGAGCCTTTTTCTCCTTTATCGTCCACCACTTTGACATCTGAAGTTCCCTACATTTATTCTACCCCTATTTGTAACTCTCACTCCACTTCTGTGTTCAGTGTGTGAAGAACTGGCATTTTGTTTGTCTGAAAAATTCACTGATTCTACCTTAAGGTTGCCCAGCCATTTTATTGCCGAACTTATGAACGTGTGGCTATCTCACTTGGGAGCTTTTTATCTCACATGTTTCGCACTTTCATAGTCTAGGTGGACTATTTGTCGTGGACAAGTACCTACTGCTGAGGTTTGCGTGTTGTGTGAATTCATGTTTTACATTATTAGTGCTGTATAGTAAACCATCTCCCACTTTGTTTTGCCTTCTTGAAGGCTCTGGTATTATACGGCACTAGAAGATACCGTTTAGTCGCTACAGCGACTTTTTGCAGGCTGTTTTGCTTGTTCAAGGTCACGATGGACGAGGATTTTTCATCAGCAAGATGACGTAGCAGATGCGAGCTGACAAAGGTGTGTTTGGTTGCGACATAATGCCGCGCCATTTTCACCCACTTCGGGCCACCTGGAAGCAAGTCTGTTCCGGTGCGTTGCTGTAATTCTTGCAGATGGTATCCAAGCGAAGCCGGCAAATATTCACCCGCATGACGCGCTACGATAACGTAGCTGAGTAAGTAACTGCGCTGAACAATAATCATGTAGGATTCGCCACGATCTATAAATCCTGCGGAGATCCAACCTCGGGTCTGTCCACTATTTGGGTTACCACTGGTTGTGTATCGCTCAACATGCACAGCGCTGGCTGCTACTTCCGGAAGCGTGACCAGTAATCGTCTGGAGAACGCCAACGTTCGTTTAAAGAGGGACGTGCTTCACGTCGATAGTCCGGAGCAGGCCATCCAGGGAGTCTCTTGGCACAGTCAGTGGCTCATGTGCGAGTATGAAACACACCTCTTACCACTGTGACCGTCGAGAAATTCGCGATAGAGACACCTGCATTCTACGCGTGGCTCCTCGGACGACGACTCATGCCGCCAATCAAGCTCTCAGGTACATTGGCACGTGCACGCCCAACCTGACATTCCATCAGACAGACTGTTTTTTAGTCGCCGGTCCAACGCGCAAACGCTGCCTCCCGTCCATCAGAAGATTAGTCGAGAGAGAACGGTGTGACATGGATCTCAATCGGTCCATGGAAGCCTAATCGACTGTTTTCCGTAAGGCTGTTGCAATGAGACAATTTGGCACAACTTCGGGGCAGACGGAGACCGGTAATTTGAGGCATAATTACAAGCGAACGTTTTGTCGACCTTGATTTCGAATTCCGGAATGAATAGGACTTTGTCTGACTTTTCCAGAAGTGATCTTCATCAAGGCCCCATTCAGAGCCACATTCGGGAAAATAACCGCGAAGATTGCAAGGTTTATTCAGAAGTTATAGGATGCGAATCCGTCCGAAACAGTAAAGTCGCTTTTATAATAGCCACATTTATCTCCCAGCTTCAAATCGCCTTGCGTGAAATGGTGATTCCCTGAATTCGGACGATCCCTACTGAGTATACATCGAACCTCTATTGCTGAAAACGGGAATTATAAATTACTCGGTTAGGTGGGTATGTCAAGCGCAATAAATTACGTTATTTCAATGCTCCACTGAAGACATTTGAGAAACGTTTTGCCTAGTGTTTCGTCACAAGCTCGACGAACGCAACCTCTGTTCTGCTTGGAAGGAAGCAACTACCTACGCCAGCTATGCATATAAGGGTTCGCAGTCCATAATGGTGGTGGGTAACCACAGTCGTTTGGCAGCTTCTCAATACAAATTCGTCCTCGTTTCACCAATGGCAAGCAAATGGAAAAAAGGCGTTCAAAGATCTGCCACCGACATTTTCTAATGAAAAATTCTGTGCCGACGGACACAGAGAACTGTTAAGACTGATAAAACCTCGAGACTTTCACCGACGCCGCAAGTGCCTGCCCCCAAATATATCCTATGAAACGGTTATCTTCATGGAGATGGTCCGAGATAGGTAGGGACCCGAAGTTCCTCATCTTTGGCAACCAGCCAATTGGTAATCTCAGTAGACAGTTCTGGCCAACCTATAATGGAACACAAAACATGACCTCGAAAGTGAGTTAAAGGCGGTGAAGTACGCAGACGTTTGAAGAAGGCGTGGTGATACCTTTCCTAATACACTGCCGATCCAGGAGTTTCTGTGCAACTGTCCTTTAAAACTTTGGGCCATTCTGTACCAACTCTTTGTTGTTAATGCAGAAATAGTCGCTAGTATGTTATGTGTTCTTCTCTGTTAAGTCACGGCTTTATTTGTCCTGCAACTTTATAGTTGGGTGTTACGTGGTCGTGAAATACTTATCTAAATTGTGTGGGGAGACGACGAATTAATCAAGAACAATTCCTCTAGTATCCATCAGTGTGAAGAGCAAACGGTATCTTCGAGTGACGCGGAATACCAGAACCTCCGGGAGGCCAAAACAAAGTCTTACCTGGGTTTCTGTACGGCACCGTTGTTGTAAGACAAATTCGTGGACTATACAAACCTCGACAACGGATACCCATCCAAAACAAAGGTCCACCTTGACTACAAATGTACAACAAATGAGCGAACAGGATCACACGTGTGAGCCGCAGGCTATTGACACGCCGAAATTGAGTTCGCCG